GGAGGAGGAATAGGAGGAGGGGGAGAGTATGATAATAATAAGAAATGAAGAAGAAAAGGAGGCTATGGTGATGAGGAGAGTAATGATGAGAACTATAACGATGGAGATGATGATGTTGATGATTATGATGGTGGTAATAGTGGCGACGATAATGGTAGTTTTAGTTGTGTTGATGGTGACGATGATGATGATTATGAAGATGGCGATAATAGAGATAATGGTGAAGATGATGATGATGATGATGATGATGACGCTGACGATGACAATGACGATGACGATGATGATGACGCTGACGCTGACGATGACAATGCAATGACAATGACGATGACGATGACGTGATGATGACGACGACGACGACGATGACGACGACGATGATGACGTTGACGATGACGACGGCCTTAATGAAAATGGCAATACCGATGACACCGAAAGAGAAAGAATCACCAGAAGAAATAAGGGAGAGAAGCAGCATCGCTTCGGTCATCCGAGGAGGAGGATCTCTCTCCGCCCGCAAAGGATTATCTAGACACAGGCTTCCACTCGAGAGCCAACACGTCACGGCCGGCGCTTGCCCTAACGCTGACGCACGCGCGGTGGGCTGGGCTCCTTAGGAATGTTGCTGTTGTTGTTGATGTTGCTGTTGTTGTTGTTGTTGTTGTTGTTGTTGTCGTGGGTTAATTGGCCTTGGTGTTGTTATTATGGTGAAGGTATATGCTAGGTTTAGCTTGTTTGAGGACAAACTTATACATTTATATTACACATACACAAATACATGTATTTATCTAGTATATTTTAGGTAGTAATATAGCATGTTCAACATTGTATATATTATAAGGTATTTTGAGAGTATATGTGTATGTAAGCTCCCAAATTTTCAGGTGTAAAATAAGTAAAACTCGCAAAATTTTTTATCAAATTATTTCAGTTGATTCTTTTAGTGCAATTCATCAGGCTGCTGATAGATAGACAATTTAATCCAGATCAAGATATAAGCTAGTTATTTTGCCATCCTGTCCTAACTGGTATACACCATTAATCCAGTAATTTTACAATCCCGACCTATCAGGAAAACGACGGACGTAAAATCTTTTTTTTTTTTCACTATCCCGACTTACCAGGAAAAAGGAATCCAATCGATTCTAATTTCTAAACCAATCGGAGACATAATTACTTAATTAAACCAATGTTCTCGCAGTCCAAGAAGATAAATAAACAATCAAGGAATTTAGTCCAATCTTTAACAAACATTTAACCAATCTTCAACTAATCTCCTTCTCTCTTTTCAATACCCCGACCTACCAGACAGACAGGTAACCACTGATCACATCAAAACCCCAAACCCTTTACTAATCTGAACTCTCTCGTTTCCTCAACTTACCAGGCAGGTGCAAGCACAGACAAGCGCGAGCACCTGTACAAGATCCTGGTGATTGGCGAACTGGGAACTGGGAAAACGTCCATAATCAAGCGCTATGTCCACCAGTTCTTCAGTCAGCATTACCGGGCCACCATCGGTGTCGACTTCGCTCTCAAAGTCCTTAACTGGGATAGCAATACAGTCATCCGTCTGCAGCTCTGGGATATTGCAGGTGAGAGGGGGGAAGGTGGGGTAGGGGTGTGCGGGAAAGGAGTAGGGGGGGGGGGAGTGGGGGAGTGTTTGTGTTTGAATGTATGAGTGATTAGATGGAAGAGGAGAGAGGGGGGGGGGGAGGGATGAATTAATGAATGGAGTACTGGACTAGGTAGATGCGTAAGTGAATAGGTGAATGAATTAATGAGTGAATGTGTATGTGTGTGAAAGAGAGAGAGAGAGAGAGAGAGAGAGAGAGAGAGAGAGAGAGAGAGAGAGAGAGAGAGAGAGAGAGAGAGAGAGAGATAAGCGTGGTATATTTAATATGCGCAAAAAGGGGACCATAAAAAAAATGAATAACTTTGTCAGACAATGTATTGTGCTTTTCCAAATTAAGACAGTACTGATAACTATCACACGAATTTTCCTCGTTATTTAAGGCAACAATATCCCCCCCCCCCCCTCCGTGTCCTACAATTAAAGCAATTTTTCTCTGCGCCTTAATACCACAAAATACGAAAATTCCTTAATATCTGAAGACCACAACCAAAATTTTCCTCACTTTACGACCCAGAATACAAATACCCATCCTCAATGATTTAGAGACTTAAAGGAAATCGTTTTATACTCCAGGCCAAGAGCGCTTTGGAAACATGACTCGGGTTTACTACAAGGAGGCCGTGGGAGCCTTCGTTGTTTTCGACGTGACTCGAGCCCAGACTTTCGACGCCGTGACCAAGTGGAAGACGGACCTGGACACGAAAGTCACCCTCGCGGACGGCTCTCCCATCCCCGCGGTTCTGCTTGCTAATAAGGTACATGGGCCGAGGAGGAGGTTTTATTTATTTATTTTTTTTTTTCATCTTGTTCTGTGGATTTTGTTGGTTCACTGTTCTCTTTTTTCTGTGTCTATTACTTCAACTACGACTGTTAGTATTACTATCTTCTGCTACTATAACTAATGCTATTACTATTACCGACTCTATCACCACTTGTACTACTATTACCATTAAAGCTTCTCCTATTTCTTTTATTAAATTTCCTGATATCATTAATTTATCTAATTACCTATATATTCATGTGCATTAGTTTATATATATATATATATATATATATATATATATATATATATATATTCATATATTACTTCGTGTATTTATTATTTATTTATTAATTTACAGTGTGACCAGCCCAAGGAGGGGGTCGTAAACAATCCTGCCCGAATGGACGACTACTGCCGAGAGCGAGGTTTCAGTGGATGGTTCGAGACGTCTGCCAAAGAAAACATTAACATCGACGAAGCTTCACGATTTCTTGTTAACAAGGTATTTTTAACTATGGCTTTGTTTACGTTTTTTTTTTTATGGAGGTGGATGTGCGGTCTGGAAATATTGGCCTGAAGTAGATTCGATGAAGGATAGAAATGAATGATATGTGGTTTCTCGTGAAAAGGGACTTTATATGATTAGATCCGTAGGTTGTCACCGATACACGTAGACATTTTGAATAATGCTCTTTGAGATTTTGTATCGGAAACATAACGTATCATAAAACGCATAATTAGAGGTTTATTTGTTTTTAATTCAAACCTTCTGCAACGAAATAAAAAATCTTACCTCTCCACCGCCTCCAGATCCTAAGCAACGAAAAGCAGGGAATGATGATGACCGAATCCCTGGACACCGACAAGTTCTCCATCGACGGGAAGGCCAACCCAGCCGAGAAAGCAGCTTGCCGATGCTAAAGAAAACCAGATGCTGAATTCCCACCCACGCTTAGAAGTACTGCGAGTGTCCTTTTATAGAATGATAACGCTACTGTGTACATTTCCATTCGCTGAGATGTTTCTGCCACCAAAACAGGTAGTGAGAAGAGACGAGGTGTGTGTTGTTGATGATGAATAGGATACATTGAGGTTGCAGGAAGGGTCTCACTTTTTCATTATTATGAGATAAAGGGATAGGGAGTGATCACGTTATGGCACTTGCATTAGGAAGTGATATCCTTTTTTGTCTTCTTAATTTTTGAATAGGAAGCAATAGGATTATTTGGACTATTGGTAATACTCAATGAAAATAGGAGAAAATGTTAAAAATAGGCAACTTGGGCATTAATGTGTGTTTTGGCAGAAATATGGATTGGAGACTTTCATTTCTTTTGTTTTTTTATCTATTTATGAAAAAAAATGTTTGAGTGGTTCTGTTGCACAAGATAAGTTGTTTTATCTTTACTTTACATATTCAAGGAGAATATTATGCAATTCCAGACTTACTGAAGATGCATTCCGTTGTGTTCCCAGGTGATTTACTTGATTTCAGTTTCTTCAACTTCTTATTTTTTTCTCAAAAATCAACTGCCAGTTGTTGAACTTGTACATAATAAGAGGATAATCATTTTGTATTAGACCATCACTGTCTCTCTTTTTTGTTTGCTTTCAAAAGTCACATTAGAACTTCTTTTTCAAAAGCTTTAAGTTCTGTCTTTGGGATTTCTTATTATTGAGTTGCAGATCAAAGACAATAATATATTTGGACGGACTACATTTAAGAGATCAATTTGTATAGATTGTAAAAAGTGATTTTAGATTTTTTTTTACTTAACTGAGTGCTGTAAGAGGTTCATAAAATAAAACAAAAAACATAAGAAACTTGAACCTAAATCAGGGTTTAGAGAGAAATGGAGTGTCTCGCTGTTGTGCCATAGATTGAAGTAGAGTTAGGTACTCTTTCCATCCATTTTTTTATACATAGAACATCACAACAGGAGCTTATGCTGTGTATCTCTTGCTTTCTCATTTGAAAAGATGAGAGTGTGAGGTGGAACTTTATATTGGGCAGTAGACTTCTGTTCATATCAATATAGTGCTTTCTGGACCAATTCCTGTGATACATTAATACTGTAAAGACTTTGCAGTGGTTCTTTTTATGAATATGTTAAATTAAGAAAGGTGACATTTTACTTTCTTTTCTTATATACACGTGTTCATATGAATAATGCCAATTGCACTTGAATGTATTAAAATTGTTTGACTAGATCTGTATGGAAGGATAGTTAATATAGAAGGAGAAGACGCATTGTTTTTTGTTATATCTTGTGGTGCTTTGTGACCATGGATGAATATTTTTCCTTTGTATTTTCTTTCTTTTTTGGCTTTGATATAAGAGAAAGACCACATTAAGAAATGTACGGACATGAAACCATTAGGATTGTTAGAAAATGAACCATCAAGGGGATAATTGTTTTAAAACAAGTTCTTTTTTTTTAATTAATTTTGGGAATTTTAAAGACCATAAGTTTTTATATTCACATATAAACTGAGATGTATCATGAGTGCATTGACATTACTTTTGGTCTTCCACTGAATACAGAAAACAGATTGAATGTACAAGAAATTCTTCATTATAATAATAATGGTATGTACAGTATATAT